GGAGATACGTATATAGGTGAGACGGCTAGGCCACTCCATGTTCGAATCAAAGAACATTTAAACGGTAAGGCTAGGTCACTCCCCTCAACTGCCTTAGGTTGCCACAGGGCGCAAACTCATAATGGAGACGACTTCGGGGTCACGGTCGAGGTCTTGGCGCATGAGACACAAACAGCCGCGAGGAAGACCCTAGAGGCATTTTGGATCCGGGTCACGGATCCAAAAATGAACCGGAAGGGGGAATGCGTGTCAATCACGCGTGAACTCACCCCCCTATATAAGGCTAGCCTTTCACTGTGAATTTTGAGCTCGACACACCCAGTCCACATCGCTCACGAGGGCCGATTCTGCTCTACAGGAAGGTACGGTACTTTTTATCCACCTAGAATTGTAGGATGATCAAGTTGGTTTCGAAGATATTGCGGGGGGTGGAGATGTTTGATGGGGTAATCTCATAAATTGATTCCATCCTTTTAGGCTCCGAAGAAGGTGGTTTCACCGAAACGTAAGCCAGTAAGGTATTTTAAACCTCGTGTGGAGTTATACAAATAAAGATTTTCGAAAATTGGATAATCGCCCTGAATCCGCCTACGGTGGAAAATCAGATCCGCGTGATATTCCTTGTGCTTACTTCATCGAAGACATTGCAAGCTTCGTAAGGTGGAACATAAAGATGTAGTGAGACGGCAGAATCAGAATGGCTTGGATTCTCCATACGATGAAGACCGAGTTTATCTGAAATCGAACTCTGTCAGCAATTTGCTTTCATGGCCGCTTCATCCTAGAAACATTTCAGCTTAACAAGAAGACAGAGGTAGAAATAAGCTCAAATTACTAGAGTGGAGTTTGGGAAGGCGCCTCCACATATCCATGTCATCTGAATCTCTAAATTGTGATATAGGCGCGAAGATTTCTTCAGCAGAACCCTTTGAATACTCCCAATCCAATTTTTTGAAGAACATTGATCAAATAAAAACGATTAATCGACATGAAGGTAAAAGGTCGTTCAGGTCGTTCAAGAACCTATCAAAAACATTGCAACATTCCAGTTTTTTTTTGGGAAGATTTGAAAGTCGCCATGGAAGTGCTACATAAGGACAATACCCATTTGTGTACCCATACCATATCCGGTTCCTTCTTTCTCGCTTATGTAGTCTTAAAATGGCCACCCTGTCTCCCATATTCGACACGTGCATATCTACAGGTTCCAATCGGCCACTTCGCTGCTGAAGCTTATTGGGACTTAAACAGGTGTTTTTCTCGAAGCTCCTTTTAACAGGCTGTGCATGCCGGATCAAAGGCACCGTTCACAAAAAAGTCAGGGTACCTTTCTTGACGGGAATTGATAGAACCACTCTAGAATAAAGCGATAACAACGGAAAAAGCGCAAAAAACGATGATTAAAAAGAAATAGAAAGGGTCAAAAAAGAGCTGGAGAGGGAGGTTGGACGAGTTTCACATTGGAAGAACGGCGGTTAAGAGAGTGTTCGGGCAAGTGCACGAAGGCGACGCAATGTCTGCAGTAGCAGACAACACACCCAAGCAGACAACTTCGCTCCAATGCGAATGTGGTGAAGGACAATCAGAACTCGTAGTCAGCCTAGCGAGGGGCGGAGGCCTCCCGTCCCCCACTGTTCCTGCCCTTATTGTGCCCTATCCAGACCGTTTTCGAGCTCATTCCTGCACAAATGGTATCAGAGGGGGCGTCGAATTCAAACAGTCTGCAAATCTCCGAAACCATTTTTTCGTGAACAGTGCCTTTAAAAGGCTTCGGTGCCGAGATTGAGAGAGTCGAAGATGAGCTTCGACCTGATGAACCGACTGCGATATCATGAAAACCCAGCATATGTCATGGGTCCTTTCATCCATTATACTCCCTCACTCCTCTCTTTGCAACCCTGCGCTGAACAGCTGTACACGTGTATAAATACATACATCTGATTCGAAAGAAATATAATCACGGCAGCTATCGGTGAAGTTGAAGATGGTGTTTCAAGCCACAGAAGCAGACATTCCTTACTATATAGAAACAAGAAAAGTCCGTTTTGCTGTTTGTCTGTAGCTATTTATGTGGCGCCGTTTGGAAATCAACTGAAACAGCTGAAACAGGTTGGAGCAAGTGGGGAATGAGCCGAACTCCTTGGGCACACGTGACCCGAGCTAGCTCCGCCCAACTCTTGTAACTCTTGTTCTCCTGAGCCTAGAGTATTCAAACTTGGAACATGAGTAGGCAGCAAGGTGAGAAAACTAATGGTAGGTGACGGGTGTAAACTCCGCTCACTGAGAGCGGGGCTTCCTCAAAAACAGTGAGTTTGGACCTGGGGCCTTAAACTTGGCAGAAATGAGGCGGCATAATGGAAAAGTTAATGGCAGGTGCCTGATGTAAACTCCGCCCACTGGGGGGCGGAGTTTGCGCGAATACAGTAAATTTAGTCTGGAAAAAGATTTTTTAAAAAGAGTTTTGCATAAAATTTCATCAAACAAAATATTGGTCAACGAGATCGTCGACTGGTATGCTATCAAATGCTACTGCGACGTATGCGGATGAATGACCAAAATGCAAATGGATTCCCACTTCATCTTCAGTGAACTACAGGTCTTCCCCAATGGTAAGTGCAAACAAAAAATTAAATGATTTCAAGGTCCTTTCTTGATTTTTTTATTGTCTCGGTTAGTATATTGATAAATAAATGTGAATGATTGCCAAATGCAGTTTTTTAGAGATGTGCGCTCTTGATAAACGGCTTATGAAGCTATTAGCTGGGGTGGGAGAACGGTACTGTCCAATTTTTCGGAAGAGGACGGTTACTGTGTTGCTAAAACGGTTACGCTCTAGGTTATCTTCAAGGAAACTCATGTATCAGAAGCGAGACGCGCACAGCATCGTGGGCAGGCCAACTGGCGATCACATTAAATGAGTGCATTCTGAAAACATACCGCTCATATACGATACGCCATTTTCATCGTAGCGATTCTGTTCTAACTTTCTCAGTGGAGCTTCGAGGTCGTCGGATTCAGGCCACTCGTATTTCGTCTCAAGCAGTGCACCATCAAGAATCTTCACAAAACAATGTGCATCAGTGTGATCATGAATACTGAAGAATCGTTAAGTCAATCTACCGATCAAGCATTTTAATATGCTACAAGTAAAGCATTACTAACCTACTTCCCATGCCGGGACCCCAACAAAGAAGCATTAAATTGTATTTGCCATTGCCGATGTCGACGAGATTGCGCGTGTACCTAGAAGGATACGATGACTTGCCTTTGATGATTATCAAATATACTTTTTACTTGTGCTCGTCGAAGATGGCGTATTGCTTCCATTCATCTGGATTACTTTTATATGACTCCAAGAGGGCCATCACCTCAGCCACATTCACCACGCCATCAGCGAATATCTGTCGTAATGCTTCGACCAACTCAGAGAGGGTTACCATCACTGAAGAGCATTTTAACTGATACAATTCATATTCAAATGTGAGAATCAGAAGTTAAGAGTGAATTTTACGGGTCAAACATGGTATGTAAAGAAATACATAGAAGTAAGCAGCCTCAATTGTTGTTCGTGATGCCGGTGCTGGCTGGTCAACCGAAAATGCCATATAATGCCATGCATTACAGATGTCATTGAAAACCTGCAGCTGTCAAGGTAAAAGAAGAGGCTACAGGTCAAATGATTGATACCAGTTGCCTGACCTCGCCACAGAAAAGTACATCAAATAAAAGAATTCAAAATTACCTACTTGCCAGGGTCATTTTTAATTCTTTTATTTGATGTACTTTTTTGCATTAAATGACAAATTCTTCTGTCTTCGTATTGGAAAGGGCGGAGGTGGTGTGATGACAAGTGGCGCACTATCTCACATGCACAGTCAGGAGTTCGAATCTCGGATGCGCCGTATCTGCCCAGGCAAACCAAGCCTTCCACCTTCCGGGGGCGGTTATATGGTACCAGACTCGTGTGGGAGGATAAAAACACTGACTTGTACATCGGCTGGACACCGCAAGTCATTGTATAGGCCACATACGCACTCATTACGCCACTACGACTCTGAATGGGAGTCGAGTGCGGGGCGCACCCTCCAGACGGGACTGATTAAAGCCAAAAACATTATCCTTCTATCCTTTATGCACAATATTTGAGAACGGGGGAAATATCTTTATGGTTTAGTCAAAGATAATTCGTATCTATTCTGTTGTCACCCTGAATTCAGATGTGATGTTATGTGTCAAGGGTAGTAGGCTTGAGCGAAGAAAGTGTTCCGTTGGCAGCGCCTAAGATCCTAGTACTCTTTCGACTTCACTCTTTCGAGTAGAAACGATCAGCAAAAATAAAACAAACTGAATTAAGGAAGATGATGTTGATTGCAGAAAAGAATATTTATTCTGAACAATTATGGTAACAATAGTGAGAATGGAGTTGTGGCGTATCAGTGATCACGCGCCACCGTCCTTATTCGGTACGGAACCAGTTCCTGAGTGAAGACGACGAAATGATCACCACCTTCCAATGATCAGCGCTTCTTGTTAATAACTTTAGGTGTGCATATTTGTACAAATACATGTATATACTTCATAACTATAATAAATAAGCAAGTATGTTTATAACTGTATATATTAGGTTGATGCATAATTACTGCAGATTTTTTTAGCAAATTTTCCTCAAATAAACAATAAGAATATTTAGCAAAAACATGCTCAAATAATCATTTCGGAACATATTTACCATATACGTCAAGCACTGTTTCCCAGTTGCTAGACAATCGGATCCCATAGGGGAAGACGTTTCGATTCTCGGCAGCGATCCACGCCATGACATCGGCCATCAAGCCATTCATTTCTTTGAAAGTTCTGTTCGTAGCCAACTTTTCAGCGGGCGATTGACGTGATTCCATAGGAGTTTCTTTTGGCGAATAGGTCGATCATAGACGAAGATTTCTTTGTTTATTCGGCTTTGGCTGACTGTTCCATCGCTGAGAAGTTCGTTAAGATCACTTCATGACTGTGCCACCTTCCAACCTTTCTCGTGGTAATAGAGCATGAGGTGCCGTATATGAAGATGGCTTTCTAGACATATTTCTGTTGAAGAAAGGAAGAAGATTATTCCTATTGAGTCCCAAAGTCGATATTCAAATTGTATCGAGAGAAAAGAAGCCGCAAAAAATCCGCAGCAATTATGCATCAACCTATTATATATTTAAATATTTTATATTATAATATATATATATATATACAAAATATTATGTGTTATATATTATATATGACTGTATGTAAATATAATATAAACCAAATTAAAGAAGGTGGTGTTGTTTGGAGAAGGGAATAATCATTTTGAACAATTATGGCAACCATAAGTGAGAATGGAGTAGTGGCGTATCAGTCAGTGATCAAGCTCCATCACTTCCCATCACCCCTATACGCTGTGGAACCAGTTCCGGAGGGCAGACGACGAAATAATTAGCGCCTTCCAACATTCAACGTTCCTCTGGAATAAACGTCATTGGGATTAATACATCCGGCGTTCTGACAAACTTAATAGTGAAATGGTGCAAAGGAACTCTAGTTGTCGCCTACTTCAGATCCATATATGTGTATATAAATAAATATATATATATATATGCAGGATGTCAAAATTATGGGGACCTGTTCATTGCAATGAATTTAAAGCTTCTTGACTAGAAATAACAATGAAATCTATATGTATATTTGCTGATATCATGTACAATAAAATGTTAATAGGTTGATGCACAATTACTGAGGATTTTTTCGTAAGTTCTTTTCTCTCGATACGATTTGAATATTGAATTCGGGATTTAATAGAAATAATCTTTTGGCTTTGCTTAACAGAAATATGTCCAGAAAGCCATCTTCATATACCCCACATTATGCCCTGCTTCTTGAGAAAGGTTGGGAGGTGGCACAGTCATGAAGTGATCTCAACGGACTCCTCGGCGATGGAACGGTTGGCCAAAGTCGAATAAAGAATCGAATCTGCATCTACGGTTGCCCTATTCACCGACAGAAACTTCTATGGATTATCACGTCAATCTTCCGTTGAAAAATTGGCTAGTGAAGAGAATTTTCGGCGAAATGGATGACTTGATGACCGACGTCAAGGCGTGGATCGCTCCAACAATCGAAACTTCTTCGCTTGTAGAATTCGACTGCATAGCAAATGGGAAGCAGTCCTTGACGCAGATGGTGGATATTATCCAAAATAATTATTTGAAGATGTCTTTGCTAATTCTATCGTTTCTGTAAGTAAAATTTGCTGAAAAAAAATCCTCAATAATTATGCATCAGCCCAACAGAAACACCTTTCAAAATATCCTCATTGGCATGCATAGAGATGCGAAGTCTGCCCTCGAACTCACTGCATGTAGCACACAGGTATCCCTCCTTCATTTTTTTCCAGCCGATCTTGGTCTTACTTTCATGACTACAAGCTGGAGTTGCAAAACGCAGTGTATTTTTATTTGACATTGTGCTGCTATACGGTTACCCGGACAATCGAGCTTAAGGGGAGCGTGTGTCGTGAACTTTTGATTCCGAATGAGAAAAGAAACTCGTGATATTAACAGCTTTCGCCTCTGTTTGTTGTTGGTTAAGACCTTCCCGTAGCGATTTTAGGAGCACCTAGTCATAGTGGTTTGTTCTGAATGCCCAATACCCCACACAGGACCAGGAGATCCTGTTTCTAGAACATTTCTACGGAGTTACCAGGTGTAACTATAGTAATGCGACGCACTGTACCTTTATGTGACATTGCGTTGTACAGTAACCCGTAATTTGAGCAAAGCCTACTCTCTTTTGCTATATTGCACCTTCTTTCAATGATCTCTCTTGGCAACGATGTTTCTTCCAAATGGCCTAGGCTTAGTGGCTCGGTTGTAATAGCCTATACCCAAGTTTCGAATTGATGCTGAGCAGCATCTCACTTCTTGGATATTGAAGCAGGAATTCCATGAATATAAGAACATCAAAACCTGCTTCCACCAATATGGCCTCTGGCTCCATCACCCACGCTCCAGTACAATGTCGCGCTCCAGTAACAATAGGCCCAACCAGTAAGTGTACAGCAACGCGAAATCTGTTGACATATGTACATACCTGAATGTCCCTCGGAGGGGGGACTGAACATTCACTCAACCTTGGACGCCGCAAGCTGGGCGGCGAAGTTCGTACTGATTTAAACGGCTCTGACGCCTATCATTGGGGCACAAATTTGAGGGAGGGTAGATAAGTAGCATAAGCTGCCCCTATCAAATTTCTCTACTTCGAGTTTGGGCCACAGTAATAGGCGGCAGAGCCCTTCGAATTGCCACGAATTCCGCCGCGCGCATCTTCGGACGCGCGTATATACCCACACCCCCCGGAAAATCACTTTTTTTTTGAATTTAGATCTTGGATGCTTGGAAGACGGCAGTTCTATCAACCAAACCTCAAGCCTAGTCTTCTTCAACAATGTCATTTGCTGGACTCCCCGTCTCAACAACACTTTTAAAGCATAATAATCCGCTTTTACTCATCGGGAAGCTCACGAAGAAATAATAAGCAGCGAGTACAGAACATATTGAAATCACAAATAGAAAGTGCTTTGAGAATAGCCACTGAGAGAAACTTTTGCAGTACGCGCAATACAATAGCCGCAAGGAATGAGATGCATAAATGAGTTGGGCAGGTGCTTCTTTACTCCTCTGCATACGTGTCGTTTTCAACGGCACCTTCCATTTCACCCTCATCATCAGCAGTTGCCTCTTGATATTGTTGGTACTCGGATACCAGATCATTCATATTCGATTCGGCTTCAGTGAATTCCATTTCGTCCATACCTTCGCCAGTGTACCAATGCAAGAAGGCTTTACGACGGAACATAGCTGAAGGAAAAAGTGCTACGATAGCTGAAGGACCGCCAGAAAGTGCTGAGTTGAAAAAAAAACATACCAGTAAACTGCTCTGATATACGCTTGAACAGTTCTTGGATTGCTGTCGAGTTTCCAACAAAGGTGGCAGCCATTTTCAAACCGCGTGGTGGAATATCGCATACTGCTGTTTTTACATTGTTGGGAATCCATTCGACAAAGTAGGACGAATTCTTATTTTGCACAGACATCATCTGGTCATCAACCTCCTAAACTAAGGACTTTTTATTGAGAAACACAAAACTACCAGAGAAACTTTAGATGGGTCGCAAACGGCGGCACTATTAACATACAAGAACTATTAAATGCCCGTGAACCTTATCGGGACACTTTGCTTCTACAGAATACGAAGGATCCTAACATACCGACCCAACTTCGAACATTAGCACTTGCAATCTGACCCATCAAATCGATCTCTCCTTAAAACGGGGCACGACTCTAATATTGGATCTATGAAGACACATGGCGCGCTTCAAAGAAGCTCTAATCACTTCATTAGGTTCGGTGAAAAGAAAAAAGGATTATAACTCACACGCATGCTCATACGACCACGGAACATTGCCGCAACAGTAAGATAGCGCCCGTGTCGTGGATCACAAGCGGCCATCATGTTCTTTGCGTCGAACATCTAAAGCAAAGAAGTGTTTGCAAACGGATCAGATCAGGTCATTTTCTGAACCACCTCACCTGCTGCGTGAGCTCAGAAACCGTTAGTGCTCGGTAGGCTTGAGCTCCCTTTGCTGATAGTGGTGCGAATCCAGGCATGAAGAAATGCAGCCGTGGGAAGGGCACCATGTTGACAGCCAGTTTACGTAGATCAGCATTTAGTTGTCCAGGGAATCGCAAGCATGTTGTTACTCCAGACATAGTTACGGATACTTAAATATAAAGCCATATGGCACATTCACTACGAAAGAAGCTCCACTGCACTAGAAATTTACTTTCAATGATCCACATATTCAACGACTTTGTTACAACAATTGGCTGCTTACGAGCACACACGCACACATATTTCTCAAACAGTGGAGATTACTCTAGGATAAGCCGAAAAGATCTAGCAGTGAAAGTGTAGGCTCACTCCGCATATTAACTTTGCAACCTTGCAGCATTCCTTAATGTTTCGTCTCCACTATATTGGCTTCGTATAACATCAAGCCAAGGGCAATGACAATTTCATCTGGTCAGTCGCAACGGCTGCCTCTTCCTGAGGATAATGCCAACCAGCATAAAAAGGCGGACACGAATCGATTCGCTAACACTAGACGCATCTATCTTCGGCAACCTATTCCCTCGATTGTCTCATTAAATTGAGATGCCAGTCAGGCTCACGCGACACATTGATCGGATAATTCGGACTAAATTCAAAAGTCCCTCCCCGTATAATCGCTCCGGACTTTGTGCGCTAGAAGCAGTGGGGACAGGGTACCCACATATCTCGTTTATATGTCGAATGATCTGGCAACACAACTAATTAGGTTCATCATTGCCAAAGTGTCGATTATTGACTGAACGTGCTCTCTACGCATGCAACAAGTGCAGAAAAGGGTGCCCAAAAGGCTAGTCATGACAGCTTCACCCTCAGCCTATTCGCTGCATTGCTTGCAACGGACATTACGCAATACCCATCCTACCAGCCATGACTCACTTTCAGCGCTCGTGTATCGAACATGCAAGCCAACAAAAACGCCACTCATTTCTCGATTACCCAAACTCGCAGGGTAAAATATTACAATACAAACGAATTTTCGTACCCAGATGGTTGAGATCTCCATAAGTTGGGTTAGTAAGTTTCAGTGTACGGAAGCAAATGTCGTAGAGTGCTTCGTTGTCAATACAGAACGTTTCGTCAGTATTTTCCACCAGTTGATGGACAGATAGGGTGGCATTGTAAGGTTCCACGACAGTATCGGAAACCTGAACATATACTTTGAATTGGCTGAAACCAGTGTCCAACGCAAGATAGGAAAAACGTGCAAAAGTCCAATAGTGAGCAAGCAGATTACAAAAAACGAAAGTCTCAGGAGAATCAGGAGAAAATGTAGTTTGGAGGTGGGGGGCCCCTTTTATTGCACCAGACATCAGGGCGCAAAGATGTGCTTGGAAACGTTCTTAGCCAGGGTATACAACTGGAAACTAATTGTAAGAAAACTAACTATATAAGGGCTTAGTAGGTGAGTAACAGCGACTGAGATGATTAACTCGAGCAAAAAGCTCGAAGAATTAAGCATTAAGTTCACCGCTGAGCTATCTATTCGAAAAACAAGGAGGTGGGGTGCTCTTATATTATTCCTGCTTAGAGAGCTTCACTACGGCCTCTTAAAAAGGCTAGCCCTCCTTTCTACGCTCTACTAGCTAGTGCCAGAGGACTGTTAGGGCACTGTGAATGTTAAGGGACAATCACCTGCTTCAAAGCTAAGTCAGTACGAACAACACGCAAACATAGGGACACTTACCTTTGGTGAAGGTACCACTGAGAAGGATGACATAATTCTATCAGGATATTCTTCACGGATCTTAGCAATCAACAGAGTTCCCATTCCTGATCCTGTGCCTCCTCCAAGCGAGTGCGTGAGTTGGAAACCCTAAAATTATAATCATAGAATTACAAGATTCATTTCACTCGTCAAAATGTCAATACCGTTCAAACAAGCTGACCTGAAGACAATCGCACCCTTCTGCCTCTTTGCGAACAACATCAAGGACGCTATCGACAAGTTCAGCTCCTTCTGTGTAGTGACCTTTTGCCCAGTTATTACCGGCTCCAGATTGCCCGAAGACGAAGTTGTCCGGGCGGAATAGAGCACCAAATGGTCCGGAGCGAACAGAGTCCATCGTGCCGGGTTCCAGATCAACAAGTACCGCTCGTGGAACATACTTTCCTCCTGAAATGGTTGTTTCAAGAACGATTTTGGAGACGAGAGAAAGAGCTTTTTAAATCTTACCATTAGCCTCATTGTAGTAAACATTGATTCGTTCTAGTTGTAGATCGCTCTCTCCTTTGTATGATCCATCGGGTTGGATGCCGTGTTCGTCAGAGATAACCTCCCAGAACTGAAAAATGGGCGATTGAAGGTGACAAATGTTCGCACTTTCTTGTGAATGGAAAATTTAAGCGAATTAATTGGAAGCCCTTGCTTAAGCTCTTCACTCTCATCTTTATAAAAAAAAGTGGGTATGGATTAGGAGGCGTCGGACGTCGCTTAGTTATGACAATTTTTTTTACGAGGACAATCACCGCGCACACGGCGACCTGGGTTCATCGCGCGGTGACCGCGAGGGCACTTTTTGACCGACATCAGGAAACGGTGGTTAATGAAAGGCTTGGTATTGAACTCATGTTGCCCAGACGTCCTTCGAGCTCGGGAAAAGAAAGACCAGGACTGGCGCTTCCAATTTTCATCTGAAACACCTCGTTCCACTGTAATTACACCTAACCTTCAAATCACCATTTGTGAATAGACGATAAAAACAGAGTAACAATTGAACGGGAACCAAGGTATGACTGGGAGCGCTGGCAATTCGAGCACATCACGGAAGTGGCCACGAATTGGAGCTCGGAATTTCCCTGACGAATCTCCCGAACGCTTGACACATAAACCCATAAACTCGCGAAAATATTTTCAAAAGTTGTAATTCGAAAAATTCTCAGAAATCCATAGAAAATCTACCTAATATGAAATCAATCTGCCAAAGGTTTTTTTTTGCCGAACAGATCGTAATCAACATAACCGAGGCCTAGTGACTAGGCTACTTCCCACAACCGTTTCAGGCATATAAAAGTGAATTACAGCAGTTCTACGATTTCTCTATCGTTCCACATCAGACCCATTCGAAAATTTATCGATGGGGGCGTTGTACTTTTACTCTTACATTGAAAATCACCTAGAAATCAGTTGAGTAGGCTCTCCTACGAGCAAAAATTCCCGGGTAGATCAACTAGCGGTTACCGTTGGTGGACTGCGAAACTGCAGGTTTCCTGGAGAGCTCCTGAGCTATACTTTCAAGCTTCGAAAGACATAATGTCAAGACACCTTCGAAGCCCTGCAGGTCACGCAATTCTATAATTCACCCAAACTGAATTCGGGGATCCCTCAGTAAATAAGTGTAGAGAAAATATGTAGTACGGAGAAGCCAGATGATGGTCCATAGGATATTTCGAATGTGTCCGAATAAACTCCTAACTCATCACGGGTTTGATACAGAACGAGGGAGCTGTATGTGATGATAAAATATCAGAAATCAAATTATCCTTATACAAACATGCCACACAAAGATCCCCATCACCACTCACCTTGGCTCCGATCTGGTTTCCGCACTGTCCGGCCTGAACGTGGACGATCTCACGCATTCTGCTGATGGACTGGTGTGATTGAGAAGGCTGAAACGAAGGCCGCCTGAGAACAGCTCACACGGTCAGACAGAAATTCGCGAAACAAAAATGAAATGAACGGGTGGTGCCCGTCGCGGGAAGCCAATGAAATCGCGAGGGAAGGCGGCCCCGGACGACCACCGCCAATCAACAGCGAGGGGCCGAGTTGGCCCGCCCACAGGCGGCAAGAAGCGGGAAATTCGAAGTGGCCTGCTGTTCTGGGACCTCTTCCCGACACACACTGTCTCGCGTCACTGATGCTGCTTTCCCGCGCTGTCCATCGGCCCCATTATGGATGGGATGGCATTGGCACTGGTTTGGTAGACAGAGGCAATGCAGGGGGAGCAAGGTAGCAGAATGCTGGTTGATGTGGGATTTGAAAGGTGCCGATGAAGTTTGGTAGTAAACAGACACCCACATGACCGGCAAGATGGGGATGAGAGACATTGCTCCCACTGGGCAGACGAACACCAAGTTTGCGCCCGGGTGAACTGATATTCAGGTGGAGCCCTTTCTGGGCTTCCCGCAAACGTTCCTCCTCTGGGGTTGTCTCCCACAAGTCCCCTACAAACGGTCCAAGCAGCGAAAGAAACATTGGAACCGACAGCCTCCCACGTCATTTTTAAGACCCGGTTGAATAAAGAGGCTTCACCTTGCAGGTGGCTTGATTGTCAGGGGAAATTTCTTCTTTTTCCTTATTTGAACTATTTACTACCAACACGAGAGCTAGTATGCGTGTGGATGGGAGGTTGGAAGTATGTGTGTGGATAGGAGGTGGGGAATATGCGTGTGGATGGGAGAGTATGCTGGGAGGAGTTCAGGAGATCTCAACTGGGATAATTGTCGCGATACCCATTATGCATTACCCAAAGTGCTTATATAAGGTGAGAAATATCCCCTGAATACTTCACGTGTTGTGGGAAACCGAAACTAATTTGGGATGTCTCCAATTCAATAATTTGGAGATAACTGAGGGTTCACTTGGGGTCGACACCAGATATCAGTTACATCCTGTCTGAAGAGGAATCAGAAGTTTACCAGAACAAACTAAATGGGTGGTATGATTCGATGGAAAACTTGGCTCCCTAACTCGGACGGGTGGATTATGTTTGGGTTTTCTTAGCCCAGTTATCTACTTTGTGACCTATGGCTTTCGGAGAAGGTTCTCAAGTACGGCAAAATACTTGAAAAATAAAAGAATTATTAGGCAGTGGTAGGTCATGTTTACAAAATAAAAGTTGTAAACAAAGAAACAACAAATGATGAGAAGATTCGTGAATGTTGAAGTCAAATTTCGATCGGATGACGGTTCACCCAAATGCCCAAAAGTGAGAATCGAAAAATAGAAAACCAGGGAGCCTGTCCTAAGGCATTTACCAAGCCCCCACGGACATCTGTGACCTCCCTGATTGAAAAGGAAGATAAGGTAGTTGCCCTGAACACTAGGGGGCACAAGTTGGTGAAAGTAAGGGACTTTGAATAAGTTGCTACAAAACGTCAAACGACGAACGGAGTGAATGGAATGAGAGTAATGATGACAAAAGAAGGCTTAAGTATGAACAATAAGCTGTTCGGGTGGAATGACAGGCATGCCGTCCGATGGGAATGTAATCAATGGAATAGAGATAGCTGAAGTAGCACCACAGGAACAGTCCTGAGTACCCCCAGATGATGTTCCTGTCAGGTATGTGCTATATTGGGGGATAATCCGATCGTTGGGAATGGTATTGAGCTGTAGAACATGAATGGAGGACTGCCCGAAAAGTCAGATGATTACCAGCTCAATCTTTGCAGGGCAGGAAATTAGACAAATTCACCTTCTCATAGGTAATACTATCGGCTCTGAACTGGGAAAACTGCTTCCTGCACCTGGACGTAACCGCAAGAGGGGACTTCTTTGTGCCATTTTTGGCCTTATCACTGCTACCCCAAATTCAAAAAAAAATTCCATTCAAAACTGCTCATTACCCAGCAGCCCAGCAAGGATCAGGAAGAGAACAATTATATTGAGAATAAAATTCAGATGAAAATCGAATTGAACGTAGGCGACCACCCAATGGGTAGGAAAGATTGGCAAGCGAGGATAGTGGCGCCAGGCGGCCGGCCGACCGAGTGACTGACTCATCGACACGGCCGGCTGCGGTCAGCCGTCCCGTCGACCTCCGGTCTCCCATCGCCAATCCAATGGCGACATACTCGGTCATGTCTTCGACCCCAGCTTCAAATTCATAGCTAAAACTAATGGAACATGGACGTCATGATCACCCTGTACCCTGTGTACCCAGACCAGTCGCCTGGGTCTTGGACGGCAGCACCTATGGGCCACTAATTGATTTTTTGTTTGTTATTGATGGTAGAGCTAGTTAGCCAAATAAACGGGATGCTTGAGTCCATTAGAAGATGAGCTATGGTCTTCAGAGCTCAGCTTCTAGTTCTGGATGGTTCTTCAATTCGTCCCCATATCCGTCTAAAGGAATTAGCCAGACAAATGGCTCTGCCTCCCATGTGCACAAGCTTACATGAATTGATGAAGCGAGCTTTTGACTCACAAGTCGCAGCAAACGAAAATTCTTCGTCTCCTAGTTGAGAAATGTCTCCTTGTCAACCACATAGGGCTGGATGGCGTCGGAGACTGTGAATGTATACCCAAGGGAACACAATTTTCAAAAGAAACTGAACCCGCTGTGAGACCTATTTGGAATGGATTTGGACCGGCTACACTGACATGGTTTCCCTGCTCAATGGAAAACTTTCCATTTTTTGTTGGAGCTTCCGAAAAAGAAGTGAAGAATGTTCAGTGAGGCCTAGAACAAACTCTAAGGGGCAATTCCAGAGCAGCCACTAATTTCTTGCCTACTTTTTATTGTCAGACGTTGCAAGTGATGGGTAATAGGTATGACTGGTTTTGGCGCTACTCAAATTGTGACAGAAGGCGAAGCCACCGAAGCAGTTAGAGGTGCAGTTCACGATAATTCTGCGGTATCTAGCTTAGGTGGATTATGGAAGGTGTGGTGCAAAATAGTGCGAAATTGGCGAAGAAAGCATGAAACTCAACGATTTTCATGAAATTTAAAGCGTTAAAAAAGTAGTACGGAAGTGGATTGTACGAGATTATGTGTCTGTAACGGTCTAGGTATCTCCCGCATAAGCGTACTATTCGTCTGCTTTGCCGTGAATGCTGCAGGCTCGTTGATGCCTTCATAACACGGATTCTTTTGGGTGTGGCGTCGACTAAGCCGGTTTTGGAGCCCTTGTGACGCCCATTTGAAGACGTTTTTACCCAACCATGTCTCGCGTGCTATCGTTAAGGGCCACAGGCTTACCTCAAGGAAGAATTTTCGGAACCGCTCTTATCGTGAATGTGCTTTCAGGCTTTTTTTGGTACATTTAATTTTCATAAATTATTGAAAGGTAGTATACGAAAATATGCCTGGGAACTGTGCGGATCTTATTCGACGTGCACAGCTAATAAGACCAGTAAAATTTCAGCTCTGAACAATCTTTTCATGCCGAATCAGGGATTAAGGCAGATCCCTAACTTCACTTTGACTGGAAGTGTGGGTTCACCCTCTAGCAAGGTGCAACATTAGCCCTTAGGGGAGAAAACTCTTCAAAAATGTCTCTATATGAGAAAAAGCAGTGCCCTTCTATCTCAGCTTGAACCCATTCTTCCGGGTATTCGAACGACGAAAAGGTAGTGTTTTTGTTTGTGGTGCCTTCACTACCAAAACGAGCAAATAATCTGTAAACAACAAGTGTATAAACAACTCTGCAGTATGCGATCTCAACAATAATTAAATAATTAAAAGCATCGACATAACAAAAAAAATTCTACATTCGATTAAGCGACTTTTATGTTTCATCTTACGATGTTTATCGGTTGGCAGTGGGTTGACAGTGGCCTTGCAGTGAAGGGGTCGTTGGATTCATTGTCAACACCATATGTTCCTATTGTTTCTATTCAATCGCACCCGATATGGAAATGCAGCTCTAAACCATAATTGCCTCTTGATATAGAATATTAGGAAGTTCCCCATGAGACGCTCTCT